ATATAGATGTATATACATATAAATAAACACAGTACATATACAGTATATATATATTGTGTAAACAAAAACTTTTATTTTGGATGCGATTAATCACGATTAATCATTTGACAGCACTGAATATTTTAAATTAATTTATTCTTTATGTTAATGTTTTAGTGGTTTAATACAAAGAATATAAATACTGAAGAAGAAAAAAACTTTAAACATCCATGAAAAACTATCACATAGTCACGACATGTCTAGAATTCTTACCAGAAGTAGTTGCAGTTTGTTATAAAGTTACCAACCACTTGGCAAGTAAATTTTTTTCTCCATTATATATACACTTTCAAACATCTATTTTTAATGAATATACTGCACATGTCCTGTGATGTTTCTGAATGCTATTTTCTTGTTTGTTTACAGTACTGATTTTACTTATAGTTTGCACAGAAGAACAGATTATCAGAAGTAATTTGTGTATTTGATCCGCCGAATGAATTCATTTCATTTTGTTGTTTTCTTCTCTCAGGATTTACGGGTGAAGCTGGAGCATGAGCGAGAGAAACGGTGAGTTGGAACGTTCTCATTATTTCTGCAGCTCTCTGTCCTGTCTCTGATCTCATTCCTCTCGTCTTATCCTGGCTCTCGTTACGCCATTTCTAAGATCTCTCGGGACAGGGGAGAACGGAAAATATGCCAAGCTGCCCAAAAGAACCAGAACGTTCCTTTAAAAGTATTTTGATATTTAGACGAGGCATTTCACACACACTTTGGTACAGTTTGGCAGACGGAGACAGAGGAAAGAGGAGGTCAAGCCAAGTGTTTGAGCTCAATGGCACACCCAATATTAATTTTCAATGTCCTGTAGGTCATCCATACTCCCACACACAGAACATGTCATTTTTCCCATCTCAAGACTGCCAAATGCCAACACGTGAGTCTTTGCAAAGTATATCCATATGTGTTTTCAGCAAACTTGTACTCCGGTATTTTCCCTCATATCAAGCCAGTGTTTCTGCATAGGAATAATGTATGACATTGACAAAGCTTTGTTTACAGGAAGAAAGTGAATTCACGTTATTGTCAGTCAGTACCACGAAGCCCTGTTGCATCACACTTTGCTCTTAAAGATTCCCAGAGGTCCGCCGTCTGTGTGAAATGCCTCGGTGGGTTATGTCACAGGAAGTTGGCGCAGCATTTGAGGTGACAGGCAGCTGGGTGTGCTGCTTTCGTAGCTCTGCTTGGCTGCTGTGGCACAAAATCTTTGTGTTTAACTCTCTTCTGTTCTGCTTCGGCTTTAAGCAGAGATGTATGAGGAAGAGGTGATGGACCACTAGTGGATAAATCAATGGAAGTAATTGGGTGGCTAGAAAACGACATCCCACCTTCAATCAGAATAGCCATTCTCCTTCATGTCACGTCGGTTTGCTTTAGAATTTTTTTTTGATATATTAGATATTAGATATAGACTCCCAGATATATTAAATATAAAGGCATACATATTTAAATATTTTCATGTCTACAGACCCATTCATACTCATAAAAACATATTCCAAAATAAAACATTTGACTTTTGTTTGTCCACCTATTGTTAGAATATTATTAAAACATTTTCTGTTCAATACAAATTTATTTTTATTGCATTTTTCACAATTAATATAATTCCAGACCTGCAAGAAGAGCTAAATGCTTGCAAATACATTCTGGTTGCTCTTGTATTCAAAGCAATTTTTTAAAATTGTTATTGTTACAATGTTTATTTTTTTTCTCTCAAGTTTTCCGTAAACCCCCAGCATGGCCCCCCTGACTTGCCTTAAATGGACTTTGTTTTTTAAGGAAGCTTAACATCTTGGCATTTCCTTTACTGGCCAGGGCTCTGTATATAGCCCTTCTCTCCTGCACCGTTTATCTTCACTAAGAGCAACAATTAAAATGAGGGACAAATTAGTATTAAAATCTGCCTGTGTATTATTGTTTGAGTAAACAATGATATCAGTGAATCTTAATAAACCAGCCTGGCCAGATGGTGGGACTTCCATCCACTCTCATTAATATGCACAACAGTTTTTTTTTTCTCCACTGTGCAAATTGCATTGTGCACTGGTTTATATACATGCAGCTTAAAAAATGGTGTTTAATAAGAAAGTCTGCTATGTTCAAAAGTTTTTTTTAAATTAATAGTTTTATTTAAGAAGGATGCATTCAATTGCCCGAAAATCAAATACATTATTTTCTTTTTAAATTAATATTCATCAAAAAGCCTGAAAAAAATCAGTTTCCACAAAAATATTAAGCAACACGATTGTTTTCAACATTGATGATATTAAGAAATGTTTCTTGAGCAGCAAATCTGCATATTATAATGATTTCTGAAGGATCATGTGACTTTGAAGACTGGAGTAATAGCTGAAAATTCAGCTTTGCATCACAAGAATAAATTACATTTTAAAATATGTTAAGATAAAAAAATGACTACTTTAAGGTGCAGTACTATCTACAATACAAAACTACAATGTTATTGTTTTTACCACGCCAAACTTTTTAACAAACAGCAAAGTCTATTCAGTCTATTTCCACAACAACATAGTAATACCATTGTGTTTTTTTTTGCTAGTGCCATTAAAGTTGTTTTCATTGCGTTACATCAGAAAGTCATAAAATGTAACTGGCATTTAACTTGTATGCGTATAACTCACAGCACACAGTATAAATCAACACACTTGCGCCCACAGTAATAAAAACCTCATCAGAACAGGCATTAGTTAACAGACCAGCCTAGTTGGACACACTCAAAACCGTCTTCCTCTGGCAGCGACTGCAACACCGAGACAGGAAGGAGGAGAGCACCGCATGCCATGCCAAGCGCGGAGAGATGTGGCCAAACCGAGGAAGGAAAATCATCTCGTACTCTACATCCTCCATTTCTCCAGTCTTCCGCTATGATTTTCTTCCATCACTATCTCACTGATCGGCCAGTGTAAACAGAGCCATCGCTCAAAACCCAACAAGCAGCTTCATCAGAAGATCTGACAGCTAAACAACATCCAGCTGATCTCAGATAGCATAAAAGCTTGATTTCACCCATGACAGATGTCCCTAGTTGTCGTTGTTTCCCATAAATGTCTTTAGATGAGAACCAATCAGCTGTCATTAAGTTGGAGATACAAAAACCACTAATTGCTAAAGTCAAAATTTGTTTATTAAAGATAACAGTTCCTCAAAATAGTTGATACAAAGTGTTGTGTTTGTTGTTTTTTTTAAAGAATTCTATTCACCATGCAAGGACGCAATAAATTGATCAAAATGACAGTATGGCAGTAAAGTAAAAAAAGTGATATAGGCTACATGACAGTAAAGACTTTTACTTTGTTACAGAAGATTTCTCTTTCAAAAGCTGTTCTTTTGAACTTTCTTTTCATCAAAGAAAAATGAAAAACAAAAGAATGAAAACCGTTTTCAACACCGTTGAATAATGTAAGAATAATAAATGATTCTTGAGCAGCAACTCAGCATATTAGAATGATTTCTGAAGGATAATTTGTAAACTTGTATACAAAAACCATTAATGGCTAAATTCACAGATTGTTTATTAAAGTTAAAGATGAAGGTTCTTCCAAAGTTTTGTTTTAGCAAATTAAGGTAACAATTTATAATAAGGTTCCATTTGTTTACTTACATTACTTACATAATTTAATGATACATACTTCTAAAATTTTTTTTATCTTAATTATAACTATATTTGCTAATACATTATTAAAATCAAAAGTTTCATCTGTGGCTATTATTTACTAACTAAAATTAACTAAAATTAACAAATATTAATAAATACTGTAACACATGTAAAGCTCATTGTTCGTTAGTGTTAGTTAATGCATTAACTTATGGGACCTTATAGTGAAGTGTTACCAAAATTAATATTTTAACACAGCAACGATGCATTGAATTGGTCAAAAGTCATAGTACCGCTGTCAAAAAAGATTTATATATCAAATAAATGCTCTTCTTTCTATTCTTGTGAACTTTTATACAAAAAAGTCACATGATAAAGCTTCATCAAAAGTAATAGATATGAATTGCTGTGTATGTCTGGCAAAATTTGGCTGGTGTGCTAAACTTTGGAGGAGGAGGGGAAAACGTGCTTCCTGCTACTTCCAGCGCTGCTCCACTTTTTTTCCTCTTTCCTCTCAGGAAGCGCTCCATCTGCCTTTCTGTGTGTTGTGATGTGGGCCTCGGTGTTGAAACAGTGGTCCGCTCCGCTTGATTAGGCCAAACACACACTCATGCACATTCAAACTCCTCATGCTTCCCTTGCATTATAATCAAGCATGCACACAAACCAATTTACACTCTCAGTTCCTTTTTCTCTCGCCCCTCATGTTGACGCACACTCTAAACATAGTCATGCACGTTAAATAAGCAGAGACACACTGTTTATGGTCTGTCCCATGCATGAATACACCATAAAGGCTGTAGAAGTATTGAATCGCACACATCAGCAGTGACGCCTTTCCGTATGCTGATTAATAATTCTGCAACGTCAGATCGCTTTCCACTCATGTTCAACTGACCTGTCCTTCATCACCTCTGTTGCTATGGCAACGACCCCAAATGTCAGGATGTGCCCCATGATTGGAAGGGTGCCATCATGCATGTCCACAGTACCATGTTTACATACTGCTTACGTATGAACAGTGTAACTAAAAGAAAGGAATGTCTGTTGTACTTTAAATTTGCAGGTGCCTTAAAGTTGTTTTGGTTTGACCAGACTTTTTCTTCTCTTGCTTTAGAATCATTCCGTTCCAAAGGCCGCTGAAGTTCAAGGATCTACTTCAGAAGGTGACAGAGGCCTTCGGTCAGCAAATGGACCTATACTACACTGATAAAGAGGTGGTGTATTGATCCTAGTAGCTTATTATATTTTTTCGTAGTGATAGGTCAGTAGATATGAGCCAGAACAATTAATCAGCCCATATTCGGTCATTTTGGTATTACCTACATCAGCCAATAATTGTGCCTGTTGAGTTTGTTAACAAAAATGGTAGTTTGTTTCACTTCCCAAATTCACTGATTTCTCAGTGAATAATGCAGGTAAAAAGTTGTAAATAAGTAATTATTGACATGCTGTCATTAAAGCAAAAATGGGATGTATTATTTGTTTTATATACACTACTGTTCAAAAGTTTGGGGTCAGCAAGATTATTTTATTTAGTAATTTATAAATAATTTTTTATTTAGTATTAATTTAAGAAGTCAATTCTTTTTTCAGCTTGGATGCATTAAATTGATCAAAGTGTCAGTAAGAACATTAATGATGTTACAAAAGATTTCTATTTCAAACATATGTTGTCATCAAAGAATTCAGAAAAACTGCATCAATGCTTTCACAAAAATACAACAGTTTTCAACATTTACAATGAGAAATATTTCTTGAGCACCAACTCGGCATATTAAAATGATTTATAAAAAAATCATGTGATGCTGAAAACTGAAACTAAAGGACATTTTTAAAAATTGAAATAGAAAACAAATGTTTCAGATTGTAATAATACTTCACAATGTTACCATTTTTACTATATTTTTTTATCAAAAAAATGCAGACTTTGAAACATTAATAAATCCTACCGACCCCAAACCTTTGAATGGTAATGTAATGAAAATGATTAAATTATAAAAGAATGCAAAATTGGTACAGGTTTCATACTTTTGCACCCCACTTTATATAAATTTTATACTTGCCCCCTGACCTTTATCTCAGTATATCAGCTTTTGACACTACATATCAATTACTCTTCAGTTGCGTTTAGCATTTATACTTTGCAGTAAGGATTTATGCATTTCATTTATGCCTTGTTTTTAAACTTAGATGTTGGTGGCTCTGAAGTGTCAGGAGGATTTGGACCGAGTAGTTCAGGGATTGAGCTCCAGCTCTGGAATGAACAACCTACTGAGAGTGATTCTGAAAACACCTCCCAACAACCAAGTGAGTCCAAGCCAAAACAAAGCAAAGCGACCCAAAAAATTCATGCAGGAAACTGATGACAGAAGTCATATTTGACTGATGTAGCTTTTAGGACAGCGTAAGGACAATCAAGTGTATCTTGAGTTTGATTCAGGCTTTGTCAGGAGCTGCGTTTTGTAAAGTAATTTCATTGTCAGTCTCAGATCATAGAGTGCGTCAAAGACTAGTGGAACGAGTTTGTAGTGTTTGAAAAAGCATCTCTCAAAGCTTTTCGCTCTGTCAGCAGTGGAAGAGTGTGAATTCACACCCATTTGTCATGTCTCTGTCAACATACAAACACGCATTAATGACACCAAACATGTTTGTTTGTCTTCAGTTTCATACATAAGTGTTTTAAATCTGGCAGCATGGCATTTTTTTCGTAAGGTAATATTAATTAGATGTAGGTCTGATCAGGTCATTAACAGTATTCAGCAGCCAATAAACAGTGAGAAGTGAAGTTCATAACATGAATTTTATGCAAAACAAGAATGAGTGTTGTCTCCAAATAGAGTGTGTATAGAGCGAAGCATTTTTCAGAGATAGAGAGCTCTGTGACGCACTCTCTTTCTCACCCTCTCACGTTTTTTTCAGTGTTTGGCACCATCGCTTTGTTTTCACACCTGAGAACGAGACGAGAGAGAGGAGTTAGCTCGCTTCCCGTTTCATACTGAATGATGGAGGTTGTAGGTTTTTGCTGGCTGAATGTCAAAGATGTATTTTTACAGATTTCAGTGTGTCAGAGCAGGCATCGTAATGGGGGGAAGGAGAAATACTTGTGCACTGCCTACATACATAGCATGTTTTGCAGTTGGTTAATATAAATAGCATTTAAAAAGGCCATGTCATGAAAAACTAGATGCTTTTTGAAATACATAAATGGTCATGGTTTTGACATTACATTCTTTAGACCATTAACATAACCTCCCACGTTTTCTGTATAACATAATTCACTTATGTATAGAAGTATTAAAGGTACAGTAACAAAAACAGCTTTTTTAAATAAAAAACGTTTTATTCATAGACACTGAGGAAAAAGGTAACTTCCTAAAATATTTTTTCAGGATTGCTTGAAGAACAGAATTGAATTCGAAATCTTTTGTAACATTATAAATGAATAATTTTTTAGCAATTTTAATATCAATAAATATATTTAGTATCATTAATTTATTTTACAAAATATGTCTCAAGAGTCAGTAAGGTTTTTTTCCCCCAAAGAGAATGATACTCAATTTCCCAACAGTGTCAGTAAAGATTTTTACATTATTACAAAAAAAAAAATCTATTTCAAATAAATGCTATTCTTTTAAATTTTCTATTCATCAAAGAAACATGTATAAAATGTATAAATGTTTCCACAAAAATATTTTTTATAAAAATAAATATTTGTATGAATAATGATAATAATAAGAAGAAATGTTTCTTTAGAACCAAATTTAGCATATTAGGATGATTTCTGGCGGATTATGTTGCATTAAAATTCAGCTTTGCATCACAGGAATAAATTGCATTTTTAGAGAGATTAAAATAGAAAACATTTCTTTTAAATTATAAAAATATTCATCAGTATCCTGTTTTTACTGTATTTCTAATCAAATAACTGCTTTGATGAGCATAAGAGACTAAACAAATTTTACTTACTTGAACAGGATGAAGATGTCCAAATTTTTCTTATTTTGTTGAAATATCATTTTTTTTCCATTTAGTACTGCCCTTCGGAAGCAACAGAAAATACTTGCATGTTTCCGGGAAGACAAATTAAGTACAATTTACCTTGATCTTCAAATTCTTAATGCATCGTGTTTCCTTCTGGAGCATCAGTGAATGTTTGAACATTTTTTAATAGTTGTGATTGAGTCCCTCAATTGTCCTCGGTGTGAAAAGATGGATCTCAAAATCATACAGTCACTGCTGGAAAGGGTTCAAATATGCAAAAGATTCTGAAAAACTGAAGAATCTGCAGGACCTGAAGGATTTTTCTGAAGAACAGTGCTCAGTTGAACTGTTCAGAACAAACAAGGGACTCATGAACAACCATCACAAAACAAAAAAACAGTTGTCGATCATCCACATAACCACACACAGTATTGAGAACCAAGGGTTCCCAAACTTTTGAATGGGGTTATTTTAATAATTTCAGCTATTGTTTTGTCTTGTGGACTAAATGTAAACACATTTTATGTAAAATATCTTACTCAGGACAATACTAAATAAAAAATAACATGCATTTTGTATGATCTCTCTTATTTAGCTAAAATTATTCACATTTTCACAGATTCTGCAAGGGGTTCCCACAGGATTGCTTGAAGAACAGAATTGAATTCGAAATCTTTTGTAACATTATAAATGAATAATTTTTTAGCAATTTTAATATCAATAAATATATTTAGTATCATTAATTTATTTTACAAAATATGTCTCAAGAGTCAGTAAGGTTTTTTTCCCCCAAAGAGAATGATACTCAATTTCCCAACAGTGTCAGTAAAGATTTTTACATTATTACAAAAAAAAAAATCTATTTCAAATAAATGCTATTCTTTTAAATTTTCTATTCATCAAAGAAACATGTATAAAATGTATAAATGTTTCCACAAAAATATTTTTTATAAAAATAAATATTTGTATGAATAATGATAATAATAAGAAGAAATGTTTCTTTAGAACCAAATTTAGCATATTAGGATGATTTCTGGCGGATTATGTTGCATTAAAATTCAGCTTTGCATCACAGGAATAAATTGCATTTTTAGAGAGATTAAAATAGAAAACATTTCTTTTAAATTATAAAAATATTCATCAGTATCCTGTTTTTACTGTATTTCTAATCAAATAACTGCTTTGATGAGCATAAGAGACTAAACAAATTTTACTTACTTGAACAGGATGAAGATGTCCAAATTTTTCTTATTTTGTTGAAATATCATTTTTTTTCCATTTAGTACTGCCCTTCGGAAGCAACAGAAAATACTTGCATGTTTCCGGGAAGACAAATTAAGTACAATTTACCTTGATCTTCAAATTCTTAATGCATCGTGTTTCCTTCTGGAGCATCAGTGAATGTTTGAACATTTTTTAATAGTTGTGATTGAGTCCCTCAATTGTCCTCGGTGTGAAAAGATGGATCTCAAAATCATACAGTCACTGCTGGAAAGGGTTCAAATATGCAAAAGATTCTGAAAAACTGAAGAATCTGCAGGACCTGAAGGATTTTTCTGAAGAACAGTGCTCAGTTGAACTGTTCAGAACAAACAAGGGACTCATGAACAACCATCACAAAACAAAAAAACAGTTGTCGATCATCCACATAACCACACACAGTATTGAGAACCAAGGGTTCCCAAACTTTTGAATGGGGTTATTTTAATAATTTCAGCTATTGTTTTGTCTTGTGGACTAAATGTAAACACATTTTATGTAAAATATCTTACTCAGGACAATACTAAATAAAAAATAACATGCATTTTGTATGATCTCTCTTATTTTGTTAAAATGATTCACATTTTCACAGATTCTGCAAGGGGT